GGTTCGAATCCCGTTGAAGCCCTGATTTTTTCAGGCTTCTTCTTTCCAATTGCTTAAATTGGAAAATTTACTGCGATGATCATTCTTCACTTTCATAACCCGGACAATCACGTGTACTAGATGAAATAATATTCTGTCATCGTTGTTGAAAAAAATACGATTTGCCTTCAATGAGATATACATATATGTACACTCTGTACCTGTGATAATAGCTAAGCGATCTTCTTCTCTGTTACTCCTGATCCTTACAAACTCCTGGCGCAAGTTATGAGCGACGTCGGTATTATTGTCAACAAACAGGCGCACGGGCTGATTCAATGAAAGACTGACAAGCTCTTCAACCTAAAAATACCATAGACAGAACTTTAACACAAGTATTAACCGTTTCTAATGTTCATAACAGCCACATCTATAACTAAACTTTGATAGTCAACAACACTTTAAAGGTTTCGAGTCTTTCAAGGCCTCAATGATGGCTTCAATGCAAGCCACTTGTAGGATATTCCATAGCATGCCACTCGAAAGCGTTGCACAATCAGTACAGTTGGACCCTGCTAATTCGAACTCGCTTATTTCGAAATCCCCATTATTTCGAACTCAAAACCACTTCCCTTCGATTTTCCCTTCAGTCATTTTTTTCTATCGGCTGTTTCAAACTCCGGTTATTTCAAACTAATTTTCGTTTCCCCTGAGAGTTTGAAATAGCGAGGATGAACTGCATGTATATTCAAACAGGAGAGGACAGAAGGTTTACAAGAGAGTTTTTTTTTCCACATACGCTTTATTTCCAAGGTTATCCCTTTCAAGTTATTTTTAGATCATTATCCCAGGAGGGTATACAAAAAGCCAATCCGTCGACGCAAATTTTGATCACGTGGGCAGTCAACGTCGCTTGTAAACACAGTTTCATTCTCCACGAAACCATCCATGCAACATGAAGTAACATTATCCGCAGAAGAACTGGAATCTATGCCTAAGAACAACTTAGGTGGGATTTCTTGGGAAAAAGGTTCTCTTATTCTTCATCATATCTCAATTCAAAGAAAACAAATTTATATTTACAAATTTAACCATTTTACCTCATCTGTCATTGTTGCTGAGAATAGCATTGTTTGCCTTCCACGTGGACTGAGCTTCATAATTTCCTCCATCTGGTCTTTAAAGTTCTCATCTAGCATTCTGAAGACGGGAAAAACAACTGAAATGTTACAGTATTGTTGTATGAAAACCACAAATGGCGCAATTCACAAATTAATTCCTAATTTAAACATCAAAGGTACAAGTAAGGTAAGGTAAAGTCTGCATGCGAGCCAAGTGGCCCATCAGGCCGGAGCTTATCCCGGTTTCTGTAGCATGAAGCGACTAGGAGTATTTCTACTCC